CTTTATTACAATCAAGGCTTTCCAAATTTTTATGGTCTCAGACATTTACACTACTTCTTCATCGTCAAGAATGAAAAGTACATCTAACCTTTCGGAGTCTCTGGCACTCCAAGGGGGCAGATGATTTTGCGGATGCAGTACTCTGAGCGAATGCCATAGGGTCCCACGTCACGGCGCTTGATGATCTCGGTGGTGGTGATTTCAGTATCTGATGTTTCTGTAGCAATGAGTGGGGATAGGGCTGGGTTGGTATGGTGATGAGGAGGAGAGCCCGAGAAGATGGAGGAAATGTACTCCAACATAAACAGTGACACCCAAATCAGACTAAAAAAGCCATCTTTGTCAGACAGCCATGTTTCTCTGGGCCAACACGGGGCAACAAGAATAGCCAAGTCAATACAGGAAGATACTACTGAGTTATTGAAGAGCAGAAATGCAACTGTTTTTTTAAAACCAGGTTGGAATTGATTGATATTTGTGAAAACACCAACTGCGTCTCCACAATATAGATGGGGAAAAACCAGAACTCAAATCTAAGTAGTTCTTCCCCATCCCCCAAGGGTAAAGGACATCTTTCATTTGAGGAGGTCGGAGGGTTCGGGAGGGTACGGGGGATTCTACCTGTACGTGTGGTGCCCACAGCAGCGGAAGGTTTGACGGCCATGTCGTCCCATCTTAGACAGGCCCACAGGAGCCTCAGCATCAGGCTCACACCTGCCAGAGACTTCACTGTCTGAAGGCGATACCTATAAAACAAGGTTAAACCACAGGTTCAAGATGAAGCCCGGCTGATATATCGGTCCTATCACAGACAAACTGTTTTTTTTCGGTATATAATGCAGTACAAAATGAGGAAAAAAAACTTATGGCGATATACTGATGTTACTACAAAGTTTATCCAGCAGAGTGCACTGCAATTTACAATATTGTGGCAAGCAGCTAAGAGAGAAGAAGCAGCTCTCAGCAATGTCAACTAGAATTGTTTGACAATGTATATGTTCAATTATTTTACATTTTAAAAAAAAATATTTAACTTAAATATTCTTTAATAAAGTTATTTGTTTAAGAAACCAGCCTTCTGGGTACCTTTGCATGATCATATCGGTGCAAAATCTGTGCACAATCAATTACAGCTCTAAAATCAGTATTGGTCTCAAAAATCCCATAACATTAGGGCTCTAGTTCAAGTACTACTTATATGTATATGTATGTATAAGTACTGTGTGTTGTTTACAACTTTGCACCTATACATAACATAGCAAAAGGATATATTAGATATACTGAAAAAAAATGATTGCAAACATTTTACTGAAGATTTTGATTTAATATTATAAACACTACTGAGAAGGAATACTTGTTCTACAGCTATTAGGGGAAGGAAGGGTTTCTGGCAGTCCCCACCGCCCTGGTGTCATGCAGTTCATTAGTGCAGGGAAACTGACCGGCAGTGACTTGCTCAGCTTTACAGAAAACACATCGAAGCACGATCATGGAACAGGAAGAGGCAGAGCAAAAACAGACTGAGGTTTTTGGTGTTGTCCTCTCAAGACCATTTCCATGAAAGAAACAGATGGACTGGCTGGCATTTTTAATAAATAATTCCATACACTAATTTGGTTTAGGAACAGATATTATCTCACATAAAACAACAGTTTTAACTCACAAAGTTCAAAGTGGAAGCTTGTGCATATTTCATTAGGTTAATTTAATAAACATTTTTGGGTGTAACAGACTGTTCTGAGTGTGGAATTAGATGACAGGATGTCATCCATCAATAAATAATTTCCTAAAGTTTTCTATTAGAAGAAACATTCCTCCCCTGCATCATTATGGCTGTGACAGCTGTTCCGACAATGAACTTGGCACTTGGGGAATGGTCATTTAAAATATCTTGAACATCTACAAAAACACGATCATACAAGGCTGTGTGTGTATGGGGCTTTGTTAGATATTCTCTTTCCCATGTGTAACCACAGGCGGGAAAATATCCCTGGGCTGTAGGGCTGGGTCACTGCACAAAGTGAACATCCTGACACTTCTCCAACCGCTGGATGATTCATGACCGCTTCGGAACTCTGAGGGCCGGTCAAAATAACCAGAGGTCCCTGTGTGACACCAGACTCAGAGCCACAACATCACTCAGGGCCAAAGTCACTGACAGCCAACAAGGAGGGAGAAGACATAATGAACAACTTATCAACAAGACATGGCACTCCAAAACCAGGAGAGGGTTTAAAGGTGGACGCTGAGGGGAAACCAGCCTTATCCCTAATGTCCTCTTGTAAACATCACAAATGTAGGATTCTAACTATAGCTGTTAAAATGAAAATAAAAACCCAATTTCAAATCAAATTACTGTGTATAATTCTATTAAAGCACAAAGCTACACAGGCCTTATTATGTCATCCAAATATCCTTATGTGGGTGAATTAAAACTATTTTCTGTCTGAGTATTCATTCAATCAACTGATAGAAATGTTGTTGTTACAAACATTAAATGTAGTTTGGATTTACATAGTTGGAGTAAATTAACTGGATATTGATTATTCAACAAGAACGTGTTACATATAGGTGTTATGTGTAGAAAATGTTCTGTCAGACTTAATTAATTTGGTTCAAGAGAGACCAAACATGCAGTGAAAACGTAAGAATATTTAGAAACATCTTAATTGCCATATCACCAGACAGCATTGTGTAATCAGTTGCTGTCAATAACCACTTGGCTCGAACTAAAACTGAAATTATGCGGTAAATGTGGATAACTCCTGCTCATGCTACCACGGTGCACAGCCATATGTTCTGATTTCCATTTCAGGGGATCCAGACTTCACATTCACTGTACTGTGACGCCAAAGAGACACAAATCCTTCATCAAAATGTGGCAGACAAACCGCTTTAAGACCGGACACTCTTTCTCTGGCTGGGTGCTCTGCTACAAATTATAAATTAACTTCTTCAAAATCCAAGAAAAACACAGACGTCTCCCTCTGATTAGAGTTAATTTATTATTATCAAGGGTATAAATAAATTGTAGTCTAGCCTTCATTTTTTTATTTAAAGCAAATTTGGAGTGCTGCCATCGCAGGGTTCATTTTTTGGGAGTCAGTAGAAACAAATCATGTCTGACTGTCAGAAATGAAAACTTATTTTTATTTTATTTAGTACATTAAAATTAGATTTGGGCTTTCCGTATCAGAATTTTCTTCTTTATTGTGAATTAAATTTAATTTAAAGTTTACAAGATTATTTATTGTCTTACAATGTAAGGTCCTGACTTTCTGATCTGATTGCTGAAACAGCTAAGATGAGTCAAACAGAAAGAAGGAATTTTCCAATGAATTTCACCATGGACAACAATACGCCTTTTTTTTTTTTACAGCAGCCATTTTGACATAAAATAGTAGAGTAAACACAGGTGTTACCACTGATACTAAATAAGGTATCATTCAGTTCAGGTCACTCGGATAACCCTGATGAAGGCCAAAAGCCAAAACGCCTTGGTCTAACAATAAAGTTGTTCTAAGTGTTGCTGGAGCTTTGATCTCCTCAGACTTTCTTTCTTCTCCACGCACCTTGGAAGTAGATGAAGTCTGCGACTACATTCCATTCAGGTCAGACAGAGTCAAGGTGCTGCTATTGTGAATGTTGGCTCACTGGAAAGGCTCTGCTACACTAAATGTACCAGAACCTTAATCAGTATCATTTGTAACACCTATGTTTACCCTACTATTTCTCGTCAAAATCGTCTATTAAGTGCTACTTCACCAGCGACTTAGTGATAATGTGTTATGTGACCATAAGCGGGACACCTGTTAGAGGTAGGGCCTTAATAACACAAAAAGAATCAAAACTTCCTAATGGTTGTGCTTTAGAGGGGTGAGAAGCTTGAGTGTGTGAGAAAAATAAACCGAGAGAGCGAGCTTACCTCCAGGTGATGCCAAACGTGGGCCTGGGTGAAGGATATGGCCAGATATCTGATGCTGGCTTGGCATTGTAGCTAAATATGGGCACCTCACGGAATCCACCTCGTCTCCCCAGCACCTTCAAGTCGTCGTGTGGCAGTACGAAAATACTCTTGCGGTTGCTCTTGGTGACAAATTTGCGGTAAGAAGGCAGGGCGGTGTCTGAGCGTGTCTTCTTGGTGCGGGAGAACTTGAGGAGGCGGACGCGGCCCTTTGTTGAAGAATAGTCCTCCTGGCTCACAGTAACAGACGACACCGAGGTTTCACCACTGGTGTCAGTTGTTGACTTACTGATCGAGAGCGCCGTCTTCTGTTCTTGCGTCACTATTTCACTCTGGCTGTCCTCTGACTGACCATCGAGCCCAGAGGAACAGATTTTGGTCACAGTCGTTTTGGTCATGGTAGAAAGAGTGGACACTGCGCTGCTTTCTGTTGTAGACACCCCCGGTGCTGTCATCTCTCCAGATGGCTTCAATGGTGCCTTGGCTGTCCTCATTTCTGTGGAAACTACTGTCGTGGTGGTGGTGGAGGTTGTTGTTACCTGTGTGATGATGGTCTTGAGTGGTTCCGTCGTCCCACTGTGACTATTCTCCTCTGAAAAGTCGTCGCTTAGACTGGACTCCTCCGCTGAAGGTATAGGAGACGGTGCCATTCGGATGATCTTGACCACAGTACTGGGTTTGGTCTCCACAGACTGAAATGGTGACGTGCTGTTGTGCTGTATAGTGCTCTGAGTATTAGCTCCAAGTGCATCTATGTTATTCTCCAGCCTCGCCATCTTCAGTGGAGGTGTGTAGTCCTGGTCTGATATCGTCTTCTTGCTCTCTACCTCTACCTTAAAAGATAGGCTTGGTTCCTTGGCCCCAACCTCTGTGCTATCATTTACAGGGGCCACATCTCCATTCACTAAAGGCTTTTGCTGCGTGCTGTCATTAAATGACACAACCAGCCCTTGTTCTTCAACTTTACCAATGCTGTTCACTTTGGGCTGTGGACTGTTGGTAAGCACACCGTTGTTTGAGCTCATTACAGAGTTACTCAGCATGCTTTCACTCCCCAAGCCATCATTACCATTTACCTGAGGGAGAGGAGAAACTGGCTTGGGAGTGCTATCACCTTCAGTTCTACCTTGTTCAATGCCTTGCATATTTTCTTGGTTCTCCTCTGGCCCCATGCCATTTTCCTCTGCACCTAAATGCACTGAGCTTGACGTTTCTGGGTTTTGCTGAGTAAGTTTAGAAGGAGATGTGTTTTGACTGCTTTTTTGGTCAAGAACACTTGTCCTTACAGAGTCCAATTTCAAGTTGGGTACCTCCGACCCTGTATTTTCAATACGTGCAGCCTTGGTAACATCTGATGGTACACTGGCTGTTTGTTGCTCTAAAGAGCTATGAATTCCGCCTGCTGTTGTTTCTTGTACATTAGGCAGTTTGACACCCTCTTGCCCTAAACTGTCTGAATTCATTTCTTTTGGCCCCATAGTCCTTCCCACTAAGTCTGCCTCCAAATTTTGGGGCGTGGAGGTTATTTGGTTTTGTGGTGATGGTGAAACTTCACCTGCACTGCAATTGTCTTTGGGTGTGGAGCCCGGAGCAGGAGAAGGAAGAGGAGGAGTAACAAAGTTGTCTGTAGTTTTAGAATGTTCATTCCGACTCTCCCCTTCAGCCTCTCGTCCTCCACGTTCTCCTGGCCCTGGAGTTTGTGTTGTGGGAGATTTCTCTTCCACTTTCACAGATTCGCCGAGTGCAAGCTGTGTCCGAGCAAGAGTATGGGGCTTGAGTGGTGACCGAGGCCGGATTGGAGTGCTCAGAGCGGGGGTTGAAATTGGTGTAGGAGTCTGAGGGTTGGAGGCAGACACCTGCTGCCTCTGCCTTTCTTCAATAATGTGCTGCTTCACTCGTCTCTCCAGCAGGCTGTCCAACTTGGAGGATTTGACCTTCTTCTTGTAGGCAATGCGGGTGAGGAAGCCCTTGCTGACATCCACTACATCGTAGTTAAAGGGTCGCGTGGGGCCCTCTGCAGGTGCTTCCTTCATGGAAGCCTTTTCCTCCTGAATACTGGACCCTGGAGAGAAAATTAATTCAGACTTTAGTCTGCATTGGTATAACAATTAGACATTTCATCACATCTCATACTCCACATGCAATTGAACACAATACTAAGTCGCACTCTGTCATACTTTGCTCTTCGTCTGATCGTGCATCTGTGGGGTCCACCTCCATCTTTGTGGGTGATTCATCAGCTGACAATTCCTCAGACTTTTCTTTTTCATCTGCCCCTTCTTTCTTTTCGTCTTCCATCCTTTCATTAGACTCCAAATCTTCCGCAGACATCAGATGGTCCGTTGTGGGCTTGGAGAGGCTAACGGAGTCTTGATCTTTTGACTCACTATTTAAGACAGTAGATCCCTGAGCTTCTGGTTCAGCTACGCTGGGCCGTCGACTCAAGTCCAGCAGGGTACATTTCTTGCCAAGTTTAGCATCTTTGGAAAACAGATTGACAGTAAGAGTTTATTATCCAAATTTATTTGAAATAACATGTGGAATTATTGCTATTAATCAGGCTATTTTGGAGCACAAATCTTTAATTATTACAAAATAAACAAACTTAACAAGGATTATCATGCAGCATTCAGTTTCTACAACATAAAGAATGTGTCCAAACTCTTTTTTGATTAGTTCTTTGATGAAGTCAACTCAATGAGTAAAACAAACTTTTCAAAGTTTGGTCAAACTTGACAGCTCTTTAGAGTTTCTAGTACATTACTCAATTACATCCACAGATACATCAAAAGAGAGACCTAATTCATTGAATGCCAACACACACAATGACATCGTTGAGATTACTGAACGAGAGACTAATTCACTCTCAGAGTCTTTAAATTAGAGAAAACCAAATTCCAAATAACTTAAAACCACATTTTAGGCCCCAAAGTCTCCCATTCCAGACCTTCCAGTTCTTTGCGGTAGTTGGCGTTGGTGTTGCCGGGAAGCCTGGGGACAAACCGCTGCACATAAGTCCTACTGATCCAACTCCAGCCCCCATAGCCAGTAACACGATACTCCTCTCCTTTCTGCTTCCACACCTTCACATAAGACAAGAAAGATGATGAGAAATGAGGAAAAGAGGGATAAAGAAACAGCAAGAGGTGAAAGGTTCAAACGGTGAAAAGTAAAGTGACACCGAAAAAAGGGTGTTGGAAAAGATAGAGCGAAGGTATGAAGGGAGAGAAAGTTATTCACACATTGATCACTCATTGCTGAGGAAAATGACTCACAGCTGAGCTCAACTTCCTGCATCAAAAGAGCCCTTGATGGTCACTCACGCATGAACGCACAACATACGCACCAGTTTCCCACACCAATGAATCAGTCTTCCAGGCATTAGTCTCAATCCAGAAGTAGACTAGACTGTGCCTGTGTGTAATCTGCATTGCTTGTGACCAACCAGTCTGCCTGGCCAGTAACAAGTACAAATACACAGTGACGGTTGCCCAATCTCAATCGGATATGCTTAGTATGTACCCATGTTTGAGTGCAAGATGGTGTGTGTGTGCATGTGAATTACCTGATGTTTGATTGGAAAGGTGTACTTGACCCAGGTGGCCTGTTGCATCGTCTCCTCATCCTCCAGCTTTTTCTCCCTCTTCTTCACTTTCTCTTTCTCCTCACGCTCCATGGATGTCATGCGGTTTAACCTGACAAAATAAAATATTAATTATTATTATTCATTAGTGACTCCACAACAACCACGTTCATCCTTTCACCCCTTCAGACGTTTGGAAATACTTCTTGAGTAATGTTAAGGTATGATTAAAGATGCTCTTGGAACAGTTCCATTAAACACACACACACACACAACACACAACACACACACACACACACACACACACACACCACACACAGTTTCTGAAAGGGGCAGCTTGTTAGAGCTTCCCCTCTTCTCTCACTTACTTGATGCCCAGAGTTCAGTCAACACATACACACATTCAGGTCCTAACCTTGTGAAATCGTGGACAATCACCTCTTTAAAAGGGGCGTTGTGGTGTTGAAGCAGTAGTACAGGCAGAGGTGGGTGGTACTGGTAGTGGACTTGCAGTCTAAATATTATGCCTCACAGCTAGGGTGGGCCTTTTGATCTGATCTGGTTATGATCGCCTCTGCCTGCGAAACTGACCACAGAACCCCTGTGTACATGCACTGAATGCTTGTTTGAGTTTTTAACTTTTTTGAAGTATTTAAATATTTTGCATTTAAACTGGAGGGATCCTATAATGATTATTTTGTTTATACGTGTTTGAGACATATCACTTTGTAAAAAGCACAGATTTAAGAATATACACATTGGCGACCAATTAAAGGAAAACCTGAGTGGAGAAATGTGACCAATGCAGATGCCCAATACACGAAACCGAGGAGTCCACCTGAACACCTATGGGAGAATAGAGAGGGGTTCCAGAAACTAGGAGGTTTGTGTTGTTTTTTTCCTATAAATTGTCACCTATCTGATATATCATATGTTAATATGCATAGTACCACACCACACACGCAGATGCCAAAACAGTATATGATTGTATACTGGTATGGCCAAGTGAGTCCTTCCAGACAGGCAGCATAGCCCACAGGTTAATGGCGCACTCCAGAAAATGCGAGAGCCAGAGCTAAACTCTCCTTGGCCTTACTGCCACATCTGAACTGGCTTTGATCCAATTTGTTTATAAAACAAGCAAAGAAACATTCAATTCTTTAGAGAGTTATTATTAAGACTTACTGTCTTCAATCAATAGTGACAACTGAAGAGTGACAGGAAAGGGGGGAGAGAGACAGAAGGGGTAATGACATGCAGCAAAGGGCCACAGGTTGGAGTCGAACCCATGGCTGCTGCAGCAGGGACTGCCAGCTCTACCAGGTGAGCGATACCGAAGTTCTGTCTTTACTCTGAGGGCTTTTACTTTTAGGCAACATTTAGTTTTAAGTTTTCAGTCTGGTCTCAGTGTGCTTTTCACTTTCATTAAAATTCAATTCTGACGTCTCTTTCATTTTGTACACATCCCTATTATCATCGCCAACATGACTGACAACTTCAAGCAAATACCCACTGAACATTTTGTATGGTTATAAAAAAACATTGCAAGCTACACATGTATCAGAATTGTAATACATCATTTTCGTAGCGCATTGTCCGACTCTGATCTGTACCTGTGTGATGCCCAATTCGGGTGCATGAATGGTGCTGGAACATTGTTCTCCAGCTGGATAATGGTGAGTCTCAGAGTGGAGATGGTCAGAAACTTAGAGCCATGAATAGACCCATTCCACTTAAACTCTCCTGCTGGTGTCATGCAGAACTTGTGGGAGAGATGCCGCCTCTTGTCGTGATCCTGATGAAAAGACAAAATAAGTAGGTTTTAATTATTAGGGATTAATCTTTAAGCATTTAAATTCACTGTCAACTTCATATCATCTTTGTTAGTGCCGTGATCGATATCTGGCTTGTCTCTGACAACTGCTAAGCATATCAGGTCAATATACCATCACAGGCAGATATTCATACTTTTGGACAATTTGTAATTGCCAATTCATCTGACTTGAATGTCTTTATAATAATGGGAGAAATGGCTTAAAAGGCTAAGCCACCAATCAGCCCTTATTTAATGATGAGTATTTCTGAACATTGAAATTCATCATACTACTTGCCTCTCTATGCTGGTGCTTGTTGAGGGCCACGGCATTGGAGCTGTACTGGTTATGATAGACGCGGTACTTCCCCTCCTGGCCAAGCTTGAAATATTGGCTGAGTGTCCCCTTCATCACAACGTCCTTGCGTGTGCTGACACGGGTGATGTCACCTTGTGCATTTACTACTAGTACCTGTAGATGTAGGAAAAAAAATATGAGTCACAGATTTATTAAACACTATCTATCTTGTGCTAACAAAGTTCCTAATCTAATCAATAATATAATGTACAACCATATAATGTTGCAACCACCTGCTCTGTGTAAAATTCTGAGCCATGAAAAAAGCCATGAAATGAACTATGGTCATTTTCACATCGACTTCAGAGTCCTGATAGCAAATGATCATTTTCTAGGCAACAGGCTACTTAGGAACAATGTTGAATAAGCCAAAGATTGCCAGTTAAATCTCCAATTTTCCCCTAAGGCCCATAACCTCGTCTTCATACATACACTGGCCTGCTCTGTGCAGCTGTGGTAAACACTGTGCATGCATTTTTCATTCATTGTTTGAAAGAGGAAAATCCTCATCATTCGTGGTTTTTCCCACCTCTTTGCCCTCTTTGAAGCCCTTGTTTGCTTCATGAACAGCAGCAGCGACCTGCTGGTTCTTCATCTGGCTAAGCTTGCTCTCTGGGTTCCTCAGCCGGGTCACCATGCGAGTTGCTGAAGACTTCTTACTGCTGAGACCTGTTGTCTCACCGTTGGCCGAGTCCTTACTGTCCCCTGAAAACCCCGTTCGGACAAAGACAGAATAGGTCAAACACAGTTCTAAACGCTTTTTCAATGATCATGGAAAGAGATAACCTTTTGACAGTGGTTGCATAAATTATAGTCGTAATATGCTTGTACTGCTTTTATCATACAGAGAAAACAACCGTTTAAAAAGTACTGCAAGTCTGTTTTATTTGGGATGCACAATGTGTAAATGACTAATATGATATAGACAAGAGTATGTTTGGCATAATTTTAGCTTTGCAACGTTAATTTTACAAGTTTTGCAAGAGAGACCTGAATACAGTTTTCAAAAGAATAAAGTATAATACAAATCACTTTAGAAGACAACAATGATAATGATCATTATGAGGCCCTGTTTTGTCAGACCTCCGTCATCAAGGCTGGCCAGGGATGACTGGGAGGACTTGTCAGCCAGGTCTGGAGGTTCAGGACCTCTGGAAGGGACCCCAGCTCCCACGCTGCTGTTACTGTTCTCCTCACTCGTCTGGGAAGGCTGGCTCAGGCTGAGGATGCCATCTCCACTGACATGGACAGAATCTGATGATAGGGTTTCTGAAACACAGATGGAAAATCATAAAAGTGTATTGTCCGTTGCATAAACAAGGCTAGCTTGTCTTGATTGTGTTGTTCTTGCTGTCATCAGTCTTCATCCTAGACATCTTTCATGGTTTATTTAAGTGTTCCAGCAGAGGTGTGGGTGTAAGTCAGGACTTAAATTACCAAACTAGTAAAATCAAGACAAATTGTAGCATCAAAGCTGTCAAAAACTACCAATAAATAGGAATTTAGTACTAAGTATAAGCTTAGTCACGATGAAGATAGAAACATTCTTGTGATAGTTCTGTAATAGTTAAGGCTGTGGCTCCCTCTACTGATAAGTCATGCGTAATGCATGCACCAAATAACCAGTTCAAATGGAGGGATGGGTCACTTGACAGCAATGGGCAACCAGTCCAGGCAAGGCAAGGCTCCAGCTATCGACAGCTACCTAACCAGAGGATCTGATTACAGGCAAGCAGCAGAACAAAGGCTTCGTATAATAATTATTGCACAAGGCAATGTGAATTCTGCAAGCAGTTGGCTGAGGCTCAGTTCCATTCATGTTGATTGCAGTGACAATGCCACCTGATTGCAAATCAATCGATGCAATGCAAATCAAGCTCTTTAGAGAAAAACATAGCATGAGGAATTAAGAGTTCAAGTGCAAAAGGACTGCAATTGTCCAAAGGCTGAAGCCACGCTTCAAGAAATAAAAACTGGACTAATAAACACAAAAGCCAGCAGATGGAATGAGCGCCACATGCAAAGAGGCAGGCTGGGGAATGGTCAGGCGGCTCGCTTAAGCACTGGAGGTATATGGAACAACAAACAAGTTACTGGTGATGTTAGGGGTATGAGATTCATCACACAGTCCTGTGAAGTTGCAGACTGTGGCAGTAAAGCAGATCTCCAAAAAGAGCTTAATGAGGCCAACTGCCAACCTGAAACGTCCTCGTATACCTTTGGTGTTGCTAGAGACCTCCATTTGGGAACTTCCCTCTATCAGAGCCTCTACGGTGGAGGCCGGGGGCTTTGGAGCGTCAGTGGCCAGTCTATAGCTCACGGTGGAGGGGGTGGTTTGTGTTGGCGCAGAAGTAGCTGGAAGTATAGGTCCGTCTGAGATGCTACTGCCACTACTGCCTTCTTGGCCAGTGGGTGGAGCTTCAACGACTACAGATGAACAGCAGCAATGTTGTAAATATTGTGTCTTTTGGTTTATAATGCATACATAACTTGGCGACAATGGAGGCAAGCTGTGGTGGTTGGGGCTGACAAATATGGTCAAATCATAAAATCATCCATCATCAATTAAAAAAAAAAAAAAAACAAGATTTAAATTCATCATTGTTGGCTTAACTACACAACTACTACTACCTTTAAATGGTATACTTAATATGTACCTTAACTTCTGGGGTTATATAAAGGGAATTATATTCATCATGCTCTCAAGGCTAATTAGACACGGCTTACCAAAGACGTTAGCGCTTTGTTCTCCTGCTCATGCAATAAACGTATTATTATTCTCTATAAAGGCCTATTTATTGCACTGGATAATACATATTCAGCAAGACAGCAATAATAATTAACATATGTGCTTTGTGAGTGCCAAACTTGAGTCTTGAAAACGACCACAGCACTTCTAATCGGTGTAAGAGCCAAACAACTGCAGAATTGATTCTTAAATCAATAACTAATTATACCATTGTGATGATGTCCTTTTTCCAAGGCTCAAACACAGAATAGAGAGGGGATACTAAGTCCCAGAGAAAAAGCTTTAGAGGTCAGACCTTACTACATTTGATGCTACTATCATCATTACTTTGGGCTACATGTTTTGGATTTGTTTTTTTGGTAGAATGTAAACATCATAATTACCTCTAGTTTTGACGCCATCCATTTTCTCTTCCGTGGCCTCTTCTTTTATCTCCTCCTCCTCCATAAAAGATTTGACCATGCCATCCTGCTGCCCCTCGTCCTTGAACTTGGCTTCTTCATCTTCCTTCTCCCCATCCCCCTCTTTCTTCTCCTTCTCCAGCCGCGCTTTCTGGGCCTCCTCAGCAGCCCGTCTCTTCACCTCCTCCAGCTCCTCTTCCTTCTTGGCCCGCAATCGTTCCAGGATTTCCTCTGGATGAAAGAGCAAAACATAAACAAACGACAAAAGGTGTAAGACAAAAGAATTAAGGGCTGAGCCAGTAAATAGCAATCAGTGAGGTCAACAACACAACACAGGGCAAAGCAAACAAATCCATCAAAATGACTGCGAGCTGTACTGTGTCTAAAAAAGGGCATACTTTTAGAACACACTGAAAACACCCTTTTAAGGTGTTATTCAGCATTGATGAATTAATTACAAAATACACATTAAAAGTCAGAATAGTGTTGAATTCAGCAGATTTTAGTCGTGGAGGGAAACTAGAAGAGCCGAATCAGATTAAAATTCAGTGCAAAATATCACGTCTTTATGCTCGATTTAAACCCAAACCTAAGAAAGGACACAGAATTACCTTCCAATTAGACTTAGATACAAACAGTGGCTGTTTTGGGGCTGTTTACATTACATGATTTGTATGTAAAATGTTTAAAAAAAAACACACATGGGAGTAATTCAAATCCTAACCTGCTGTAAAACACCACAATAAAGTTAGTTTCTAGTGTGTGGTCAGAGAGCATAATGGCACCATGCTGTGTTTTATATTGGCCATAGCAGTGTTTATATGTACGGCAATGCAACAGTGATAGTTACATATTGATAGGTAAGCACACTGGGTCATTAATACAGACGGTGAAATCCTTTTACGAGAGTGTGACTCATCAGTAGCACCATTACAGATTGAACATAAGCTGCGCAATATAAAACCTCCATCTGCACTGATAGGCAATTTGTATAAAATTAACAATGTGGGAGACAGATGGTGAACTGGTGGTTTTCTTGCTCATTTGACTAATAATTATCATTTTAAATAGGGTGATGGCATGTTAAAGTTGCACACATACGTAATTATCCTATTCCACCCTACATTAAATCACCAAAAAGGAGAGACTAGAAAAAGGAATTCAATGAAGGGCAGAGCGTTGTCTTCTTCGATCTGTTTATTACTGCAGCAGACATGTTATGTACGCCTGTGTGCTCTGATGGAAGATTTCTGTGGTCAAGTTGTTTTTGTTTAACACATGTCTTAGTGTGAGTGTATGTATAGGTTATGCTGTATATCATAATCTGTCAGAATTCAGTCTGCCTTGCTCAAATGGTGAATCTCACATCAAGCAGAACCAAGAGTACAGTGTGAAATGTTGAGGCTTTACTGATTTGCACCAACCGGTTCATTAAATGATGACCTTTTTTGTACCCCCAAAGATTTCCTCTTTGTTTCTTTAACACTGATTTACAAATGCAGAGGCAGGGTTGACACATTTACGATCTCATAACCAGGTATATTTCTGCAACTATTATTATTTTATTTCTGTTTGTAACTTTTATATACAACCTTTTTGGTCATGTTGTGTGGGTTAATATGCTAGCCTGTGCAGGTTTAAGGTGTATGCACGTGTCTGTCATATGTCGGTGGGATGCCTGGGGTTGGGTTAACTGAAAAAAAAATATTCACACTGTCATTCAATAAATAAACCCTTAAAAAAAAAAAAACATGGTGGAAATGTAAAAGCCTATATCTGCTTTGCACATAACTGCCCTTTTTTATTTCACATACCATCCGTTTTTAAATGTTTCAGGATTTTAATGCGGTGTTATGGATTAATTGTGCAAACGGCTGCCAAATATACAAACCAGAATAGGTCCAAAAAGAGAAGAGGGGACCTAGTTTCAGAGAATTAAGTGGCTTTTCCAAGAACTTTTCTGCTGGGCACTTTCCTGATCAATCAATCACTTGTGCATCTTCAGTATTAAGCGTGCTACACACGTTACCTTACGTTTTTGTGATGTTGCTGAGCTAGCTGGTACTGTGTGCACAAAAAAGAAAAACGAGGGATGAAACCGCTGCTGCCAGTTCGAAAAAGTTTGACAAAAAGCTTCTTTCAAGTGGCATACATTTCACATGCCTGTTATCAACTTCCTGGGGGATAAAAATAAGGTTAAAGTCTGTTGTAAGTGAGAACCTTTACCTTATCTATGCACAGCAGATGCTTGTTAGAAGTGATAGTTTCCACTCAAGCTGCTGCATCAAAAGTTAACACCACATACAACTTCCGGTGCACAGCAGACTAAATGCTATGAACATGATGTGGTCACAGGTGCATCATTTTCACCAACACAGCTAGAAAAAAAAAACCCATACACATGGATTTGGTGGACACCCTACAGACAGAACGGAAGGGATGAGGGACTGAAGGGAAGCTCAAGTGCTGGATACTGGCCAAACTGGGACCAGAGTAAGGTTACATAAGAGCTGGGTTGATTCCTATGGCCTGGTCATCTATGACTGGGTGGCATTCATGAGTATTGGGGAGAAAGCAGGCACAGGAGTGGGAAGGGGGAGACAGAAAAAGAAAGGGAAGAAAAATTACTTTGGGCTTAAAGAGATCTTTCTTCCCCCGTGAGCCATGATTAAAAACCGAGCAACAAACTGCTTCTCAGGAAACTGGTTCATTTTATTGAACAGAGAAAAAAATAAAGAGCTCTTTACCATTAGCGGCAGTGAGGAAACACTTGTTGCTGCCACGGGCCTTGTTGGTTAGGTCCTCAGTGATATCCATATGCGCGTGCACCTCGTCCCTTATCTCTTCAAGTGCTGCATACAGGTCGGCCTCCCAGTACTCCTTATCTAAGCAATCTATGAGCTCCGCTAGCTGGACCTTTGGAGAACAGAGTTACAGGAGAGTTTAATAAGTGCAATACAAGATTAACTCTATGCTATGACAACAGCGCACAGCCAAAAAAAACAGGGAATGTATGGGTGTATTTGGTTAATTAAAAGATTGTAACACATAACTATAATTAGTAAGTAATTAATCTTTTAAAACATAATGATCACTTTTATTGTGTGAGCAGCATAAAACCCCAGTAAGAGAAAATGAGTCAAATTTACCTTGGTGCTATAGTACCAGATGGCTTTGTCCTCCTGCTCACCGTCCTCCTCACTGTAGGGGGGGGACATGACAGAGGAGACAGACGGAAAAAAGTTTAAAAAAACAGAAGACACAACGGTGAGGGCTAAGTAGAAAACAAATCAGGAAAAGACATGATGAACATATGCTTGCTTTGTAAATTACCAGGCACTGCATTTACATCACATTTATGTCAATTTATGTGTATTTTCCCCAACACAGTTAGTACTAAAAGGTGCATTACTTATTACTTTCTGAAGTGTTTCCAGTGCTGGACTATCATTTTGCCTGGCAGATCCATCCATTATACGTGTACAGGTATTATAGTCATGGGGCTGGCTTGAGTCTCACAGGTCTATTGGCAATAATTCCACAGTAACAACTGTTCTTAGAGGTTGTGAGTGTTTTTCTTCCCAAAGCAGCACTTTAGAGCCAGTGCTTGGCTGCTAGGAGCTTCTTGAAAACATTGGCTGTCCATGGTGCTGAAGAGACTAATCAAATGATTTTAAAGTTGTTATGTAATACTGAATGGTAAAATGATATATGCTATTGCCTATTGTACTGTAATGGGAACCTGTTGGATTTTCTGCCAATCAGCACCTGATTATTTAAAAGACACCTGATGGCAATAAAATACAGAGCAAGAGCAAATCTGATGAAGCAACATGTGAAGCGCACAGTTAACTCCTTTTTTGTTTTGTTTTTAATGCAATAAAACAGTGTCAATCCTGGTAGGGATGTTGTAAAAACATCATAATGTGATTATGCTGAGAGATATTGCGACGTGATTCATTCACAAGATTCGTATAGCAGAACTACAATACTTCATTCTGATGCTGTTTTGTCACACATTTTACCTTTATCAAATAATTTCAGCTTCTGAAACTTGCATATTTCCATTTCAATAATATTTTGATCAATTTTGCAGCCCTACCCTAAGGTGTGTGCAGTGGAATATCATTTTTTTGTTGTTATGTTTACTTTGATTTTAAAGTTAGTTGTCTGTAAGAAGTGTAAATATAAGACAAAGCATAAATGAAACAAACAATAGAAGTAATTACACTATTTTATACTTTTATACCGTAATTATGTTGAGTGGGGGTGTTTAAGATTAAACTCAATATCGCAACATTAATAATATTATGTCATACTGATATATAGCAAAATTGTAAAATGTATCTTAAATATAACTCGATTATAATCTCTAGATCTGTGTCAGTTTTTAATACAATTTGCTTGAAATATTTAATCACTAAAAATATATAATAAAATATAATACAATAAAACAATTCCACGAACAAGAAACAATAATCGTAAATTATGCCCTGGCACTACTTTACACTGTTCTACATGATTAAAACACTGTGAATGGATCAACTTTCCCTGAAATAAATTTACCATGAAAATGTGTGTACCTGTAGGGTAAGGGGGTGAACTGTACTGAGTAGCAGAAAGACTCAACTTCTGCAAGGCCCAGCACAAAGAGAAATTAACTAGGACACTTGAGTTTATGTAGCAGCAGCTACACGGTGGACTATTTGACAGCTTTTTGCTCAGCATGGTCATGCCGAGGGACCGTGAAGCCTGGGGCAATGTAACAGCAGTGTCTATTCAGCATCCTTCACTTGAGGCACACGTGCACGCGCACACACACACACACACACACACACCTTGCTTCTATGTACACCATTCATTGCACGTACATCCAGTCACACAAACTTTCCTCTGTGCACACTACTTGCATGCACAAACACACACAGCCTGTGAAGGGAGATCAGTAACTCAGCACCTGCTGGGGGCCAATTTGGAGAGCAGGATGAAGCAGAAAAAAAAAGAAAGACTGTGAAATGTAGCCATGACAAACTTTGGGCTACCTATCCTCTTAAATCTTATATTGTTCAGGTGATCCACGCTCCTTTATGGTTTATGTTGCAGGCCTTCTGCCGCTGCTGACCCAGCACACACACACCATCTGTGACTGCTCAATACCAAGATAATTTGCTAACATATGGGACCAATACTGCTGATGGTCAGGTTATGTTAAAGGCTATGGACGGATGCGGTTATTTTTGGTTTATTAAAACAGCAGATCCAACCACTCATGCAGATCGGCATTCATATGCAAGACCCTAAGCTTGTGGTTGTGCACCTAAGCGCTCACTTTTTGTCGCTGGGAATAAAATGTTAACAGCAGCCTCAAAATGTACTTGTCACATACCTGCAGCTTCCTCATGGTTTGATACACAGCATATGTAATAGGATTACTGTAACTCAGGCTTCAGTCCTGTAAAAGTGTATAATCTGTTCTGCAAATGTATTCTCATATTCACTATGTGTGTATGTTAGACTTTACTAGGCCTGTGCTTTTAAAACTTTAAAACTTAATTCGCAGTGAATTTCAATGGGTCACCACCACAGGTCAGTCAACTTGGCTTCATGACCCTTCACTGACCAGGGTAGAGCGCTGACCAGGTGTACACAGCCTGGCTTTGAACACCAGATGACTCTTTAGGGATGAATTCTATGTAATTTACAGTTCTGAGCCATTCCGTTGTTAAGCAGTAATGTGTGTGAACTATAGGTGCAAACATAAGTCTCTGTGATGCTCAAGGACTAACCTGCAACAACTCTCTCTCATGAATGGGGGGGGGGTCAAACACAGGTTGAACACGTGCTCCGTGTGCGTCTCCAATAATAAAGGGTATTATTAATGCCTTGGATTAGCAAGGAGGAGCAAGTATAAAGCCAACCACACAAAGAGCTTTACAGACATTGTAACAGTGTATGGTGTGTCTGAAGAAGATCACGCATTTCACACTCGCCAATCTTTAGATAAGTGGGTGGGACAAAGTGAACTGACCCACAAATACTGTGGTACATCTGCAGCACAGACAGCAGTTACAGTATATGTTGTATCATAATTAGATTACTGGCCATCTCTCTCTTCCTTATGGTGTTATTTATAATTCTACACGGAGATGGTTTGTGACATTACAAGTTTGCTATGATGCCAGATTATGGAATAACTTTGCAGACTCTGCTTGAGAGCAGATTAAACTGCTTTATAGCACACCACTTTCCCACAAATTACTCTCCCAGCCAAACACTCTTCTAATCACCGACAACATAAAGTTATGGAAATTGTACTGCAAGTATAGCTTTGTTGCAAACACCCTTCAAGAAATTCATTTCAATTTAAGACACCACAATGGTGAATAAATAAATAATAAGTCAGTCCTAACCAAGTGATATTTGCATATTTTAAAAACTGTTTTTAATCTAAAAAATGCCATTTTATCAAGGTGCAAGACTGTAACAAGATTTAGTCACTCACACTGACAGCTATACTGTTGACTCCTATGAAAAAATCTTAACACATAAATAAAACATGAACTTACACAACAATGCGGCGGTCAAGGAACCAGTATTTGCGGTGGTGTCGGTCATAGCCGACTGGCAGTTGTCGAATAAATGGTCTGCTCCTCTGCGCTTCTGGGATGCAGTCCGTCACGCCGGGTACCTTGTGTGCCACACACACCTCACATTGCCACTCGTCCTCTGGCACTTCCTGCAATGGTGGCTTCACACACTCCAGATGGTACACGGCTGAACATGTCTCACAGCACAGCAGGTCACCGAGGCGATGGCATACCCTGCAGTGGTCGTCGTAGGCAACCACACCTTCCGACATTAGCTCCTCCCGGGCAATGTTGGTCGCCAGGAACTGGTCCACCAAAAACTGGAGAACTTTGACTTTGCTCTCCAACGGTTCATACGGGTAATCCTCACCCTCCTGGAAAGGCAGAATATGCCGGTACTCTGGGTCACTCTCACAGTATGCCCGCACCACCTCTGGCCAGGTCATACCATCTACAAAATACAGAGTGGAGTTTACAGAGTCCTTCACGTCAGTGGGACCAAATGTGGTGTTGGAAGTGTCCTCCTCTCTGAGAATAGCTTTGAGCAAGGAGATGTGGGTCTCTGCCAGCAGTGTGCACTGCTCCTGGCTGGCCAACGCTGAACAGAAATCCTCAAAGCGGAAAGGAGAGAGCCGCAAAACCGAGCCAAAGTTGCGGAGGACTTCGTAGACGGCAGACACATTGAGGAGCTGAGAAGTGGGAACCAGGAGGTCATCCGAAGACTTGGGAAGCTCAAGGGGAGGAATGTCATTTGTCTCAAGGATTGCGGGAGACAGCGGTCGCATTGCTCGACTCTTTCTCCGGCCTGTGAGAAGTGAAAGGGAAAGAACCAGGAGTGAGAAGAAGGTGGTATACAAAACAAACAAAGAAACTGAAATGTAAATGTGTATATAAACAACCGCAAACACTGTGTTCTGCCCGTCCACTCTTTATAATAGTATCTGAAATGCTGATATTTGAAGAGAAAACTAATGTCTCGGCAGAATAAAAGGACCATTGTTGCTTTGAGTCAACACAAAAGGTTTAAATGCGGGGAGTGTGCACTTTGATCAGATGCACTGTATATCACAACAAAGAGAGTTACTGGTGTATACTTTATATTCAACATTAGTCAATGCAATATCATGGCAGAACTTATTAGGATCCTTGACACCTCATTGGACTGTATTCTCTGATTTCACACTAGTACATTGTCTGCAGTAACAGTGACATTTGAGGATCCCCCAAGCTCCAAAATATGTTCTAATAAAAAAAGATACAAGAACAATTACCAATGCAATTTAAACGACCCAACAGCCTATATGTACCAAATACTACAGAGGACTAGGGGAAGATGTAATTTTGGGGAATCACAAGCTAGTGCTAATGGGAATGTGGTTATTTTTAATAGAGTGTGACACTGGAGAAGTCGCATCATAAAATGCTAATAAATCAAGTGAGAACATTAAATGTATTGTCTTGGGACCAGAATGTGCCTGTCTTTTTTCCTACTGTGTAATACATGCAGATGGTGTAGCATACGTACTGTGGCTGTATATTCCCTCTCCATTATGTGTGTGTGTCTGTGTACAATATGCGTAGTGTGGAATAACCCCATGTTTGTGGTTGATCTGAATGGGTCAGTGTAGGTCATTCAACCTGGCTGGCATCATGACCCTGCACTTGACCAGGTTAAATGCTTAACTGCTTGTAGAAATATGTTTCTAATCACTGTAGGATAAGTACACTGTTACTACACCCACACTCTCTGCCATGTTGTATCACAAACCACGTGTGTAAACTCTGCAGAAACCACTGATGAACTGGAAGTCCTTAAATGTTTAGCAAATATATCTGTATTAGGTCTAATATAATTCTGTGGTTTAGCATTGATGTAAACAGAGAAACGATGACAGGACTACACAAATGGTGACATCCAGGGATTAGAGGGTTGACCGCCACAGGTTGATTATTCGGCATTAAAAACAGGGACTGTGTGTAAAAGTGTTATGTGTGCCTGTAGGTCCGTGACAGCGAAAGCACCATAACATCCGTCTGCCACCATCGGTGTTATAAAAGACCCCTCACACTCGGCTGCACAGGGCTGCCATGCTCACATGTCTTTGGAAGTTGATAGGCGATGCTTGAACCACTTAAACTGCATAGCTGACCAGAGTGTAGTGAATGTTATAGGGCGAGCAACTCAAGAAAGACAATCTACGTTCAAATGATTCTTCCCAAAAGAACATTTTTGTGTTAAAGAAAAATGCATAGTGTTTGTAATGTATGTAAGACAAAAGCCTGATGTCACAGAGGTAGCAAAAGAGTGAACTTTTCTGTTGAGGAGATCCTGAAATGCACAAAACACCCATCTCTGGATCACGCTTACAACTATTTGTCCAATCCTATCTAGAATTACCTCCAGTGGCTGGCACAATGCGCCCAGTGCCATACTTTAACTTACATAACAGATGTGCCAATTGATTTTTGACACAACTTCATTAACGTCACTGTCCACAAGTGGGGACGTGATGGATCTAATTTGCTCACCTGATAAACACAAGAGTGGTTACTATGGCAACGGCGGACCACGTAATATTGTAATGAGCTGGTGTTTGCAACAAGTGAAAAAAAAAAAAAAAAGAGCGCCTCTCTTCAAAACAAAGGCCTGTCAAACTCATTAAGCAGCATTATGCAACTAAAATGTGTCTTGTGAAATGGTGAGGAATGATATGAAGTCGATTCGGACGAGGGAAACAGGTCTAGTGATTGTGTCTAAAATGTACAATTATTACTTATTTTACGGGTAACACCTTCATTTGAGTACTACGGCTTTATGAAAAGTATAATATGAACTGTTAATCCGGGCTCAATGGGAAACACTGTTTACAAGCTGTGTGTTTTGGTGGAGCGCAGTTTACATGGTAGTAAATGCACATACTACGCTTTTACATTAGTAGAAATACTGAATGAATGAAGTGCATGGAAAGTGGCAAACGCAGTCAATACACCCTGTTCCTCCTCCGTGAGTATGAAAACACTAATGAGCAGCGCGCCGTGAAAAAGTGCGACAAAAAACAAACCCGACACATTCTTCATAATAAATTGACAACAAAACAGAAAAAATGTGCTGATCTGACAGAAGTCAAAAACATGAGAGCCGGTTGAAGCGTGGAGCAGATCTGCAAGCCAGCGGCGAGCAGAGCACACGGTAAACAAAGGCCTGTTTCTGAGTGCAGAGCTCCATTTTGAACAATGCGGCTTGGTTTCTGTACTGAGCTAAAAATAAAATGCACACTTTAAGTAATGCAAACCTGCTGTGCTCAAAGTGCGTGCACTTGCAAGCGATCGTACCTGGAGTGCTACCGAGCGTGCTGTGGCTCCGAAAACTACTCTCGGTACAGTAGCTGGCATCATCATCCTCTGGTAGTTCCTCCAGATAGTCAGAGTCGTTTCCCAAGGCCTCTTCTTCTTCAAGATCCGACGAAGGGTTGTCGTTCAGGAGTTCATCTTCGTCTGACCTGTAGCTTATATTATCATCCTCCTCGTCGCTGTTGTCGTCGTAGACCACCTTGGTTTGAGGCCGCCTCACTCCGCCTCTACCGCCGCGGCTGCCTCTCGACCCCCTGCCTCTCCCTCTGCCTCCTCTGCCCCGAGATCCCGCGGCCGTCGCCGTGGTGGAGGCTCCAACTTTCCTGCGGCCCCGGGACGAATGAAAGTTCTCCCGGCCGGAGATTTCTGTATCCACCTCCGCAGAGCCAGTGCCGCAAACGCCGCCACTTCCTCCCCGCCCCCGACCCCGTCCTCTGCCTCTTCCCCGTCCACGCATCCCTCTACTCCTGCTGCCCCGAGAGCCGCGGACTGGCCCGGGTGAACCTTCCCGCATCACGGCTGCTTGTTTGGGCGGCCTTCCTCTTCTCCCCCTCATTGTAGGAGACAGTATCTTCTGTTCCGCTTCAATCTCGGTGCTGGAATAAGCCACGCACACCGGAGAAAATCGGGGGAGAAAAAAGCCAACAGATCTGGTGACGGTTCCCGATAAGTCCCCACCAAGCCCCGGTCTCAATTTCAGGGCGGAAAGCTCAAACTGAATGGCCGGTGTCCCGCTCTGGGTCGCCTGCAGACGCCATTTTTCTTCTCAGCTCTCCCTCCGTTGAAAACACAGGAGGCCCCAGACCTGCGTCAAGTTAACCGCACACACCTGCACTGTTACCGGAAGTAGAGCGCCTGTCCCTTCAAAGTAAAGGCAACGCCAGAAACGACAATGCAAATAATTGTCAAATACTGGGGCGAACAGAAGATAAAATAAGTATCAAAACCGAATAAATGAAATCGTTTATTTCCACTGCGACCGTTTATATGATCGAAAAATTAACTTTAAACGTTTTCGTTTTCACGAGTTGGCTGTAGCAGACGCGGAAGTGTAGTTTTTATCCTCTAACTTGACAATAGCAGGCCTGAGTGGATGCGAGGTCACGTGATTCACTATTCTACAATAGACGCAATTGCCGTGCTAGTTCATAAAATTAGTTATCCATGCAAACGCTTTCCGCCAACAGTACTGTGTTGGAGTTGGCTGTGTCTAGTGGATGGTTTTAATCACAGGTGGGTCGAGTGTATTTCGTGAAATACCATCATGTTCGGCCCTGTCTCTATCGTCGTCACAGCAAACCATAGCAAGAGAGACATGCGTCCGACATTGAGCTCTAATACATGAACCTCAATAAGTCGTCATGAAAGTTAACAGTACAAATATTTAGATTTAAATCACATAAATGCGTTAACAGCAGTAATATATTTCTTATAACACATACATTTTAAATAACTTTAAAATTACTTTTGTTTTGTCCTAGGAACCTGGCACAGTTTTCATCCAGTTGGGTATATATAATATATACAACAGGAGCTCCTGCAGAAACAACGCAGCGCTATAATCTATTGCAACAATGCAGCACGCAATAGTATTTAAACACAGAGTACATTGCAACCGAGATCAGGTGGTCCGCGACACCCTCTACTCTTGCCTTTAATTTATGCCACTCTCGGGGTTTGACTACATGACTTAAGTAAGTTAACAGTATATATTTTTTTTCCTCATTCGTGTTAGCTTTTGTTTGGTAGTTAATTTCGTCTAGCTACTTCATGAGCTCCCTAACCTTGCACACGCTTCTGTTACGGCATAGCTAGCTGACCGAAACATAGCTAGGGAGCCCCCATTCGTACTGACATTATCGCAGGATAATTACATAAATCAAAATAGAGAAAAGACTCGCAGATAAGTAAGTTTCTATTGTTACTATTAAACATATATAACTACCAGTTGTCGTGGCCGAGTGGTTAAGGCGAT